AGAAGAAAATGGGCCAAAGGATATAGTTTCCCAGAGTCACATGAGTAAATGGGGAACCTGGGCTTTAGAGTTAGGACATGTGGTAGAGAAAGCTTTGCATCCATGTCCTAACTCTCCCTACTGTGGAATCCGGGACAGGCTGCTTAACTAACAATGAAGACAATAACCACAGCCCTCTCTCGGGGAGATAAAGCTTGGGCATTTGCAATCTGCCTCAACAGATTTCGGTGTTACATGGGATTTCTGGGTGCTGGTGGCACCTGTGTTCTTTATGAGAAAGCAAAGATTCCAAGTTACTTTTCCAGTTCAGAGAGAAAAATCTCCTCCTCCTATGCTTCAGCAAAAAACAAGTGTAAAAATTCCTGAACTGTGAAAAAAAAAATCATTATTCAATACCAACCCCATAATTAATGAGGATGTGAATGTTTTTTCGAGACACCTATGATATGTCTCAAGAATTCTTAAAAATTATTATTTATTTTATGTGTACGGCTGTTCCCTGCATGCATGTCTGTGCAGTATGTGTACGCAATGCCTGCAGAATCCAGAAGAGGGCATCAGATCCCCAGGAACTGGAGTTACAGATGGTTGTGAGCCACCATGTGGGTGCTGGGAATTGAACTCAGGACCTCTGGAAGAGCAACTGGTGCTCTTAACCTCTGAGCCGTCTCTCCAGCCCCCTTCCTTTTGTTGTTTTAAGGAGAGTACTGCATTTCTTAACTGAACTAAGAACAAAAGTGCACATGTGATGTCCTAAGCAAGGACACTGGTGTGCCGCCGGCGGTGGCTCCGATTCCAGTCCATGAAGCATGAGTCTGTGTGAGACAGGTTCATTCTCGGCTGTAGGCACAATCCAACATGTCTGACAGTAGCGTCACTATAGCTCAGCCCAAAGAGACGGTGACTGTTTATTGGGTCTAGGCTGCCAGACGAGTAGTTAATACCTTAAAGCTCATAATTAAAATGATAATGTTTGACATAAAAGTATTAATATGCCATTTTAAGAAAAGTAAGTATTTCTCCAGCTTTGCAAAGAAGCTAATAGTCTAGCTGTCAGAAAGATCTCTGACAGGAGACCTTGGTTCACGTTTCACTTATACATACACATACACAAGTTACCAAATCTTTCTCTGAGGACAGAAATGACCTGCTTCACAGAGTGGTCACAAAAATTGAGCCGGGCGGTGGTGGCGCACGCCTTTAATCCCAGCACTCGGGAGGCAGAGCCAGGCGGATCTCTGTGAGTTCGAGGCCAGCCTGGGCTACCAAGTGAGTCCCAGGAAAGGCGCAAAGCTACACAGAGAAACCCTGTCTCGAAAAAACCAAAAAAAAAAAAAAAAAAAAAAAATTGAGCGGTAGTAAGGTGTGGTGGCATGTCTGTAGGCCCAGTGCTGGGAGGGTGAGGCGGCAGGATATTGATTCAACACCATCCTGGGTTACACACTGAGAACAAGGCCAGTTGGAACCACACCGGGAACCTTGTTTCAAAACAAGCAACCAAACAAACAAAACCCAAGGGCTAGAAAGAAATGTAGCTCAGTCATAGAGCACTGGCTCAGAATGTGCAAGGGCTTGGGTTAGACGTCCAGTATCACACACAAAATATGGGCAGTTGTAGATACATAAATAAGAAAATCACAAGGAAGGGAAAAATAACCAATAACTTCTCATCCCAAAGGCAACTTCTCTGACCTTCCCCTCTATGTCTGTCTTTATGTGGATTTGACCGCATCCTCCAGAGCTGATGCATTCTACTTTGTCTGGTTCTTCATGGGCTGTTAATGCAACTGACCCATTTTCCCACACCATAAACAACCAGCCCTAACTGAAGCATTATGGCTTCTAGTAAAACAGTGTTGCTGGTTATGAAGACGCTGACAATGATATGCTCTTGCCTACTGCCTCTTCCTGTCACGTTGGAGCTCTGATCTCCTGGCCTTGGGACCTCCATTCTATCACCATTATCACTCGGGGCCACTTAAAGAACCTCCTAAGTGCCTATTGTGGTACCAGACACTAGGCCCCTCCAAAGGCCCCCAGGAGGAACACTGTAGGCCGCGGTACAGAGGAAATGAAGCTGTACTCCACAGCCATCTGCTTAACTGAACCTAAAAACATTTCCCCACACAGTACAACAGAAGCCACTCACCAAACCAAACCTAACCAAACCCAACTCAACCCAACCTAACCAAACCTAACCAAACACAACCAAACCTAACCAAACCCAACCCAACCAAACCTAACCAAACCTAACCAAACACAACCCAACCAAACCCAACCAAACCTAAGCAAACCCAACCCAACCAAACCCAACCAAACCCAACCAAACCTAACCAAACCCAACCCAACCCAACCAAACCAAACCTAACCAAACCCAACCCAACCAAACCTAACCAAACCCAACCCAACCAAACCTAACCAAACCCAACCAAACCAAACCCAACCAAACCAAACCTAACTGTTGCTTGAGTTTTCCTGCCTTGCCCACAGTCAGGACAAATCTTTGTCACCTGCCAGTCCCACAGCCGCTCAGACCCAACCAAGCAAACACAGAGACTTATATTGCTTACAAACTGTATGGCCGTGGCAGGCCTCCTGTTAACTGTTCCTATATCTTAAAGTAACGCATTTCTACAAATCTATACCTTGCCACGCGGCTGGTGGCTTACCAGCATCTTCACATGCTGCTTGTCCTGGCAGTGGCTGGCAGCGTCTCCTTCTGCCTTCCTGTTCTTTTATTTCTCCTCTCTGTTAGTCCCGCCTACACTTCCTGCCCAGCCACGACCAATCAGGTTTTATTTATTGACCAATCAGAGCAACTTGACATACAGACCATCCCCCAGTACAGCCAAGTGCAGACCATCTCAGACACCTGCACTCAGGCCCATGGTCCTAATCATCCTCTATGCGGACCTGCTGGGTAACGCCACAAGGAACCCAAGAAGGGCTCCCACAGGACATACATTAACATCCCACAGCACCTAACCAAACCCAACTCAACCCAATTCAACTCAACCACCTAAGCAAACCCAACCTAACCTAACCTAACCTAACCAAACCCAACCTGGCCAAATCCAACCAAATCTAACCAAACCAAGCCTGACCAAACCCAAGCCAACTCAACAAAACCAAACCCGAGCTGAGCCAACTGTCAGGACACTTCCTGGACATCGCATCCCTTTTCTTTGGGGAAAACGTCAGCTTTGTTATTTGGCTTATAAATCATAAGCCTCCCAGTACAACAGAATTCAGCTCTGAATATTTGCCTTTTTGAGCTGCCCCAACCGTACCACCACATGACCTATCCTGACTTTCCACTGATACCAATTCTTGTTTGTTTTCCCAGAGTCTTTAACTATCTAGGTATAAAGCCCACAATTTACCCTAGGAACAAAAATCAGTGAAAATCAATACAAAAATAAGTGTAATATAATGGTGATATCTTTGTTTGTTTTGGCCGGCTCTCTGGGCTGGAGGACTTGAGTCACAGTCATCATTAGTTGTCATCATAACTTAAATAATCAGGTCTCCAGAAGGGCAACAGCCAGCTCAGCGAATAGAGACCATGTTAGAACTAACTGGAGGAAGAGGACTGGGTCTTCAGAGGGTAACACTTCTAAAAATAATCTATAGGCTGGTCAGAGGGGTAGCTCAGTGGCGGAGGTTTGAGCCCCTATGGAGAAGACCCTGGTCAGACCCCAGCACGAAATTCAACAGCCACGACACAGAAAGAAAGGGGACATCTGCAGCTTGTAAGAATCTACGGGACATGGCACTGTCCTTTTAAAGGACAGAGAGAGATGAGGCAACCTCAAACACATTCAAACTCACTTGAACTTTTTTCTTTTCCATTTTCTTCCACCTAGTGTGTGGTGCTGGAGAGGAAACCCAGGGCCAGCTGCACGCCAAATGCCTTGTCTTCCATTAAGCTACATATGCCAGGCCTATCTTGTGGATTTTTATCTGTACAGCCAACAACTGCCCTAAAGTCCTAATACAGATCACTCAGAAATATTTCACCCCCCATTATCCACGTTCTTTCACACATGCGTCATGCTAATTAAAGGGCTGCTGTCCTCATGCGGTTAGACACTGAGTGGTTAGAACGATGGACGCATGCCGCCTCAGGGCTCACACCAGCTGCAGAGGCATGGGAGACCTTCACGAGTTGGAGGTGGGAATGGTTAGGATTACTGAGGTATAGTAACTGAAAACCTTAAAAAGAGCTTAGAATTTAAAGAAACGCTAAGACATGGCTTTTCCCAAAGAGGGGACCTTTGAGCCCCTAGACAAATGATTCTCTAGAGCTATCATCCCTACTGCCAGAGCCTGAAAACTCACCCCGTTTAATCTTATCTTCCCTTGCCTCCCTCCCCCCAACCTCCCACTTCCCCCTCTCCTCATTTCTTCCCATCCCGATCCTTTCTGAGACTCTGGGTCCAGTGCTCTCTTGGTCTCAACCGCTGGCCTCGCTCGCCTGGTACAACCTCTACCCCAACATACTGCATGAATAATCCTCTTTGGAAAAAATCATATCTCATCCTTGTGGAGAGGCAGAAAATTATTCAAAAAATAGTATTTTAAAAAATAGAAACAGTAAGGTCTTTAAATTCGAAGCTGTTTTCCTAGTAGGAAGAGACGACGGAAGAGAAGCAATGACTTCAGATTGGCTCAGACTAGGTCGCTGGTGGTGGCAACCGGTCAGTTTCATTCCATCACAGCAGGTGTGTGTGTGTGGGGGGGGGCCAGATTTACCCAGGTGGAGGGAAAGAGAAAGGGGTAAATAAAAGGAGCCCCGGAAACAAGGAAGGCGGGGCAGGAGGAAAGGAAGCAAAGTCTAAAGGAAAGGAGCAAGGGGAGATTAAGGGGAGTGAGGGGCCGATGGGAAGGAGGGCGGGGCGGGGGCGTTAATCAGAATGGAGGGCAGCCCCAGAGGCGGGCGGGCGGGTGCAGGAGCAGAGACTGCCATGCCTAGCCTGGTCCACTGTGTACTTCCTTACGCTGTCCGTAGCTGCCTTATCTATTTTCACCTCAGGCAGGAGCCGCCCGATGTGTGAGCCGGGCCCGATGAGCGACACCACGCCGTTGCAGTCCACAGTGCTGTTGCGCTTGACGCTGCGCCGCAGGCTGGGGAAGATGCGCGACGAGCGGCTGCACTGGCTGTAGCCGCTGTAGCCGCTGTAGCTGCTGCGGCGCTCGCGGGCCCGGATCGGGATGAACAGCGAGTCGCGCCGGCCCTCGCTCTCCTCCACCGTGCTGTGCTCGTCGTCCGCGAACTCGTTCTCCGAGCCGGGGTCTCGGAACCGCCCGGGGCCCCGGAAGCTGAAGATGCTGCTTTTGCTGTTGTGGCGGGAGAGGAAGGGTGAGCCAGGGATGCTCAGCAGCGACTGAGAGAGGGCAAGGGAGAGAAAGAGAGAGAGAGAGAGAGAGAGAGAGAGGGAGAGAGAGAGTGTGAGACCAGCCAGCAGCCCGACGCACCCCTGCAGGTCTATTACCCTGCATCACTTAACTCTTAATCACATCCCGCGCCCCACACACCCGGAATCACCTGGCTACCCATCTAGCCAAGCGGACCCTGCACGCAAATAACAGGATTTTTGTTTGTTTGTTTTTTTGGTATGTGTTTACTACCAGCTCTCACAGACAGTGCTTTTAAACAGTGCCCAAGACTCCACAGGCCGTCTAGCAAAAGTCGTTGGAGGCGCCAGCACCTCTGGCCCTCTCTCCATGTGTACCTGTCTGGAGCTTTGATACCACCACAAAATGCCGCGGTTTAGTCAGCTGGCACGTGATACAAACCTCCTCCACTTTGAAGTCAACATCTTTTAAAATCAGAATTGTAAGTGGTTGTGAATAATTTATTTCCTAATTCAGTTAGTTGTAAATTACGTAATTCCCAGCACTCACATTTTCAAGTAAGACTCTTTATCAAGTTTTTCATTTCCTTTTATCCTTTTTATCAACACATACTCTTATTGCACATTTCCTCCAAAATTTTATGAAAGTGAATTTTTATGCTTAAATGTGTTTTACTGGTTACCACTGAATACTGCTCTGCATCAAAAAATTATAAATAGGCAACCTTAAAACTTTTTCTGTGACCATGAGTCCCTAAGATATTCTTCAAATTCTCTCATATTCAGTTTTTATTATAATTTTATGAATGTAATTGATCACACTACACACGCAGTATACACTTGACAAGCAGGTGACGTAAAGGCAGTTTTTAACTGATGAGATGGCTATTTTTCATTGTGCTTACTGTTTGTTGACGGGGTTACTTATGAGTAGAAGGAGACAGGGCTCACCCACGCCCATCCTATAATAATCCATTTTAAGTGTTGGGAAGCTTTATCCATGCAAATATAATCTTGGAAAGAATTGTGTTATAATGTCATTCAGTTCTTTGAACTCTTTCCAAGTTATACGCCAAAACCCACACGGCAAACCAGTCAGATGTAGTAGAAGGATCCGTCAGCTGGCAAATCCACTCCCCTTTGCATCCTGTTGAGAGCAGGAAACTTCCTAGCCCATGGAGATGCTACCTGGCTGGAAGCAGCCCCTTCCCCGACCGCCGAGGCCCCCAGGAAGTGTGTGTTATGAACAAGCCTGGGGACAAGGATTACTCTTTCTCTTAAGACAGCTAACACAGCAGAAAAGGGAACACTCAAAACCATGTTCTATTTCCATTACTGTCAGCATTTTAAAATAAAACCATTTTATCACAGTGCGTGCTTTAAATATGCTGATCAGTCTTAAGGGTGCAGACAGCCCCCTTAGTTTATTGGGAGTCTGCAACATGATCTAATTGACAAAGTGTTCTCAATGTCAAAGGAAGCGGTCAATTTGGACTTGTTTTCATTTGAAAAAGTATGACCTCATTTTTTATTTGTGACATATGTGTTTCCCTCACAGTCACCCAGTCCTGAACTCACAACACGCCAGAACCTTCGTAATTACTGTACTCCTAACAGACACACGGAAGGAAGAGATGAACCGAGACAGTCTCACAGAGAAGCTGGGTTCCTGTGTTAGAGAACATTTTGTAGGCACCGATACGTTCAATTTTCCTTTTATCTGGCATCCTTGAGGAAATGAACCATACAGGCAGCCTAGGATGAGAAGATGGAGCTTCTAAAAAGGGAAGTGGGGGGAACCATACACACACCACACACACACACACACACACACACACCACACACACACCACATATACACCACACACACATACCACA